ATCTGCTATAATCCAGAGAGAACCCAAGGTTGCCATGGGTAACCAAAGTCGCAGCTTGTACCAACCCTAAATTTAATTTTACACACGATGTTGAGGCAGTGGGTACTGTGCTGGAAAGTTACTTCCAGCTAGGGCTGACATTCAGGCCGTCCTCACAACCACTGATGTCTGTGCCAGTCAGCGGGGTGTCCAGGTGGGCTCTGGCACCCCACTCTTGCATGTCTCCTGTCCAGCTGCCACACCAGTTGCTCAATACAGTGTGGGCCCCCTTATCCACAATTGTACTCAGCCCTGTCCCACCCCAGTCTGCAAATACAGTAGAGCACCATCAGATATTCTAAGAGATTGCATTCACATTGCTGTTATAGTGTGTTGCTGTGATTGGTCCACTATTGTTGTTATGAATCTCTAATAGTGCCTAGTTTATAAATTAAACTTCATCACAGGAAAAAAATCACAGTATCTATAGAAGTTGGTGTTATCCAAGGTTTTTGGCATCTACTGGGGTTCTTGGAACATACCTACTTGTATAGGTGGCAGAACCCTGTATTTGAATATGATTCTGGTTGTTGAGTCAAAAATTACTCTTTGTCTTTCCTGCTGAGAGAACCAGCAGTTAGGCTCCTCCCCTTCCCTTAAGCCCAGGGTTCAAGCCACAGGATGCCAGCTGGGTGAGGTATTAAAAGCTCCTTTTGACAGAGTGTCTACCACTTGCCAGATGCCTGTGTTCAGTGCATTAAGTTGATCATCTTCGTTCTTCCACTAAGCAACCCTATTAGGGAAACATCACCTCCTGTAGCTGAGGTCACCTGCCCATAGCCCCACAGCCAATAGCAGGTCTCAAACCAGATCCATCTCTCTGAGTCTCTACTCCTGGGACTGGGCTACACTCCCATCTACTCATGAACAAGAACATCCAGTGTTCACATTCTGAAAATACACGAGTCAAACATGGGCCCTTTTGCTTCTCAAAAAAGTCTATTTGTTTGGCTGCGTGGGTTTTGTTTTAATTAATTCCACATTTTGTTACCAATTTGGAACAATCTGTCCCCAGGGAATAGGTCTGGTTTACTTATAGAAAGCTAGTGAGGGAGTGATGGGACTTACAAAGTATTCCCTGTAGGAACTAATTTTAAAAAATCCTTTCCATTCTCCCTGCACCAAACAGAAGTAAACAGAACATTCCAGAAAAATCTCATTTTCCCCACAGTGGAGGTGGAAGAGCACATGAACACAACCGTCCTCCATGTGTTATAGCTATGCCTGCAAGATAAGGCATGTGACATTAACCATGACCGAGACCCCATCTGATCCCAGAAAGTCTTGAAGTTCACACTAGATAAAACTCAAGACAGCGAGAACTTCCTGGAGCCCAGAAGCTCCCTGCAGACCTCAGGAACATCAGCCAGTGAGAGGGATGGTAACCTGGGGGCAATCACAGGGTTAGGGTCCGTACTAGATCTGGGGTGCAGCAGGACTGTCAAATCCATGGCTGTGAATTTTCCATTCTTTCCCTAGGGATAAACATTCCAAATTGATTCTAAACCAATTTTTAAAATGAGCAAACCATGACCTCATCTGCTACATTTTGCACCTGCTCCTCCCACACTTAACACATGTGATTCTCAAAGCGTCCTCTTCCAAAACCATCCACAGTACTCTAAAGTTTCCCGGGGAATTGTTGTCAGCGAGAAAACTGCAACTTGGCCATAAGGTGACACAGTCAAATATCACTGCTGTGACAAAGTACCACAAAGTAGCATAAGTGACAGAAGTGTGTTATCTCATAGTTGTAGAAGCCAGAAGACAGATCAGGGTGTCGGCGGGGCTGTGCTCCACAGAGGTGTGGGATAAGAACCTGCTCCAGGTCTTTCTCCTGGCTTCTGGCAGTCCCTTGGCTGTGGCAGCCTAATTCCAGTCTTCACCTTGGTGTTCTTTCTCTCTCTCTGTGTGTGTGTGTGTGTGTGTGTGTGTCCCCAAATCTGCCTTTTTGTAAGGACACCAGTTTCATTGCATCAGGAGGGAGCTCACCCTATTCCAGTCCGATCTCATCTTATCTAATTATATCTATCATACCCCATTTCCCAATATGATCACATTCTTCACATTCTGAGGTACTGGGCTGTACGAATTTTGGGGGACTCAATTCAACCCACGGTGTCACTGAAGGCAGTCTTGAATTCAAATCAAACTCAAGAGAGGAGCAAAACAGATTTCCCAAAACAGTGCATTATATTATAATCATACCTGCTGGCACAGGTTGCTAGGGTGGGCGAGAAGTCGGTGTATGGACCCCTAACATCTGTGGCTTGCAGTAAGAGTGGACAGGCAGTCACTGACATTCTGTTGGCCAAGCAGCAGAGCGGTACAACGGGGTCTCTACAGAACCCTTATTCCTAGTGATCACTTTGTAGGCTAAAACTCACTTAAATAGGTGGGAAAATTCAGTGTTACATGAAACCTTTTGTTACAAAGGGTGAAAAAGAATGTCTTAAGAACATGGCCGGCGCCGCGGCTCACTAGGCTAATCCTCCGCCTAGCGGCGCCGGCACACCGGGTTCTAGTCCCGGTCAGGGCGCAGGATTCTGTCCCAGTGGTCCCCTCTTCACAGGCCAGCCCTCTGCTGTGGACCGGGGAGTGCAGTGGAGGATGGCCCAGGTGCTTGGGTCCTGCACCCCATGGGAGACCAGGAAAAGCACCTGGCTCCTGGCTCCTGCCATCGGATCAGCGCGGTGCGCCGGCCGCGGCGGCCATTGGAGGGTGAACCAACGGCAAAGGAAGACCTTTCTCTCTGTCTCTCTCTCTCACTGTCCACTCTGCCTGTCAAAAAAAAAAAAAAAAAAAAAAAAAGAACATGCAAAACACTTTAAACTCCCTACCACAGTTGTCCCTCTATACTGATCCAACCATCTGCGGACAGAACACTTTTTAAAAAATTTTGTGTCTGTTCAGAACATATATAGACTGTCTTTTTTCTTGTTGTTATTCCTTAAAACATAACAGCAATCTGCATAGCATTCACATTGTACCAGGTATTATAAGCAATGCAGGGACGACTTACAGGATGCAGGAGGATGTGTGTTGGCAATATGCAAATACTACAGCATTTTATATAAGAGACTTGAGCATATGAGTGTTTTGGTAACTGCAGGCCATCTTGGAACCAATCCCCCAAGAATGTTCAGGGACAACGGTACCCAAATCCCAAAGCGCTCTGTCTGGATGTAAGTTTTCCAAAGGGATTCTATTTTAAAATGGAGTTTCCTTTTCTAAGATGAGGCTTCTGTTTGCTGTGTCAGTTTGAGTAGGTAGAAGCCTTGCAGCTTGTTCCAGGCTGTGATGATGCTGAGGGGGGATCTGTAGAGCTGTAAAGCATCCATGAAATTATGCACAGACAATGGTTGGGAACGCGGGCTGTGGGACCAGATGGATCCAGGCTCAAATCTAATTCCGCTTCTTGCTAAGGTGGTGATGTGTGGCCAAGGTTTCTCTTCCATAGCCATCCTTCCGAGAGTCAGGTGGAGGTTTTAAATGAGATACTGCCTGGCAGACATCGCTATGGTGAAAACTACTCAATAAACGGTACATTTTACACTTACATAAGAGAAGAAGGAAATGAACCTTGAAAAATCAAGCTAGTCTCCTCTCTTCTGATTGTTAATTTCTCGGTTGTTATGAGGCAGTGGAAGCCTTGGACTGCAGGTGTGCAGTGAGGGATTAACTCAGCAAGTTTACCATTATCCTGTATGACTTCCAAACAAAGGACTGGCCCTTGACCAGCTCCTGGGGGATCACATCCAAGCCCTTGAAATATCCTCCCTGAAAAGAATGTCTCTGCATCCCCAGGGACACTGTGCTGTGCCAAGCAGCTTATGCTAACCATCACTTATGGTGGGAGCCTCGGGCACGTGCCTTTACTTTGACCTTGCAGAAACCGGAGCCCGAGTATAACTAACATTAGCCACACACACACCCCATGCCCTTGTGACCACCCTGCAATGAAAACTCTGGACACTGAGGCTCGGTGAGCTTCGCTAGCTGGTAACTGTCTATGCTGTCTCATGTCACTGCTAGAACTGGGCACCATGTGCTCAGCTCCTCTGGGAGAGGCAACCAGAAGCTGTTTTTTTTTTTTTTTTTTTTTTTGACAGGCAGAGTGGACAGTGAGAGAGAGAGAGAGACAGAGAGAAAGGTCTTCCTTTTGCCGTTGGTTCACCCTCCGGCGCCCCGACTGGGACTAGAACCCAGTGTGCCAGCGCCGCAGGCGGAGGATTAGCTATTGAGCCGCGGCGCCGGCCAAGGAAGCTGGTGTCTTCTCTCTCCTGACTGCACTCCCTGCACCTTCTATCTTGCATTCTTTCACCATAATGAACCATAACTATGAACATGACAGCTTTTCTGAATTCTGGGAGATCTTCTAGCCATCACTGAACCTCATGGCAGTCTTGAGGTTCACTCGACTCAACGGAGAAGCAACCAAACAGTCCAATCAGAATTCACCACTGTGGTGGGTGGCCACATGGGTAGAAAGCAAATATGCTCCAGAATAGTCAATAAACATGTGATCAGAGGAGATCCACGTGGATCTTGCAGTATGTAGCTGTGTCAGGAGCCCGTAGTTGCTGAGGCTCAGGTATTGCGGGACGGTGCCTGACCTCAGGTGCCCTGATGGAAGCTGAGGAGCTGCAGTGAGCGCCTAAGAGGGGCATTTCTCACACTCTTTATTTCCTGCACTGTTTCTTTTCTCTCTACCCCAAGTTTCAGGTGAAAAGGAAAATCTCTTGCGACTAAGTCCTCTAAGAGAGAATGAAGCAAAAAGAAACAAGAAACACCACACAACCTCAACTTACCCTGTTTCCCCTTCCTCGGATACATGGCACCTGCTTCTCACCAGCGGGACATTATCTTCTGCAACTACAGCTACAACCCCAGCATCAGACACAGGTGGGCCACGGGCATCCGTGTCCGGCTCCCAGCCCGAGGACGCTCCCCCCACTTACCTGGCTCCACCCACATCAACTCCGACCATCAGCTGCCCGTTCAGGGAGAGGATCTCGTCGCGCAGGCGCACCTTCCCGCTCTTCCCCGCCGGGCTGTTCTTCCTCAGCTCCGTCACCCAGATGCAGCCCACATCCAGCACGGGGCCCTGGTGGGGTTTCCTCTTCTTGCCCCCTCTGCGCTTTTCTCCATAGTCCCCGAACACAGGGATGTTCCCGAAACTCAGGCCCACCGTCTCCGTGTCCCCCAGCTCCTTGGTGAGGTACACAGTACAGATCTCCATCGCAGGGGGGCTGCGGTCGGGCGGGACGGAGCTCTCATCCACAGCAAAGTTCAGCTGTATGTACTCCTGCAGCTTCTGGATGGCCGCCTGGCAGAGCCGCTGCTCCGGCCCGTCCCCGCCCTCCCGCAGGCTGTTCTGCAGCCACTGGCAGAGGAGGGGCAGGTGCAGCACGGCATTGTCCTGGGTGATGGGCATGGTGCTCAGTCCCAGACGCCAGCATCATGAGAGCACCCGCTCCTGGGGGCCGGGCCCTGCCGGGCCCCACGTCCCTTGCGAAGCCTGGTTGTCATGAGCTTTGCATGTGTTCATGTTCAGGCTGGCAGAGGAGCCTGGGACACCTACTCGAGTCAGGGCTGTTGGCCTTGGCAAGAGGAGGACAGGACGCAATTACGACAGTGGGACAACGGCTCCCGAGTGCGCGACAAGGAACAGAGCCAGTGTCCGACAAGTCCTGGCTTGGCTCATTTCACAGCAGGGCCCGCGCAGATGACTTGGAAATTGGGTATTCCTCCAGCAGCAACAGACAGTGGGTCCTCCCCTGGGCTCATGCACACCTGGGACAGGAAGAGGGGGAAAAAACATGCAGTTACAGCAGTGAGTCTTCTGACATTGAATGCATGGCCTCCTATCGTACAGAAGGCCTGTACTGGCTTCTCAGGCACCAGGCACACACCAGGAACCTCACGCCTCTCCCCACTCCCCTCTGCTGTGTTCTCTGTCTCCTCCACCCCCCCCCCCGCCCCACATCTTCACACACTTGCTTCCCTCTGACAGAGGCCTCTGCATCAGTGACCTTCTCCAGGAAGTTTTCCTGACCAGTGTGGAAAAGTTATCTGACTTTTTCCAGGGCAGCCCCTATCAATATGCTATCAAACTCACATCCAGCCTCGCAAGGTTGTAGAGGGCCCTGGCCACAATTAAGAAATTACAGGGGCTGGCGCTGTGGCGCAGTAGGTAATCCTCTGCCTGCGACACTGTTATCCCATATGGGTGCTGGTTCTAGTCCCGGCTGCTCCTCTTCCATCTAGCTCTCTGCTATGGCCTGGGAAAGCAGTGGAGGATGGCCCAGGTGCTTGGGCCCCTGCACCCATGTGGGAGACCCAGAGATTCCTGGCTCCTGAATCCTGGCTTCAGATTGGCATAGCTCTAGCCATTGTGGCCATTTTGGGAGTGAACCAGCGGATGGAAGATCTCTCTCTCCCTCTCTCACTGTCTGTAACTCTACTTCTCAAATAAATAAATAAATAATTTTTTTAAGAAATTACATTCCTAGGAAGTTAAAATCTATGTCCATTTGCCCTGGTCAGCCCAACTTCACACACAGGAGGGCTGTCCGTCCTGGAAGTACATTCTACAATGCCACCAAGAGGAGAAAGAGCCATCCACACCTCTGACAGCATCTGCTTCCACTTAAGCCGACTGCATTCTGAGCTTAGCCTCTTTCCCTCTTTACCATGTGGATTCAGAGGAAATCATGAACTCTAGCATTCTACAAGTGTTAGTCTCCTCTCTGATTTCCCTTTGGCAAGTAATTGAAAGCAACCTTCGAAAGGCCAACCCCAAAGTCTTCACCTCCTGGGAAATGTTTCTACAAACGTCTTCGTTGCTTGTTTCTCACTGTACCGTTTATAGCTGTGCTGCCACTCATGGCCTACTACGGCAGGTGCGTCCCTCCTGGAGCTGGTGTGGCGTACCCCCAAATCCTACACAGTGTCTGGCACATAACGGGTCCCCAGTGAAAGGGTAAGTGAACTCCACTGCCAACTTGACTTCTCCAAAGAAAATGTGCATCTCCATTCTCCATAAACACAGAAAAATGGTTCCTTTCACTTTCTTCCCCCAGCTTCACTTTCCCTAGAGAAAGTCAATATAATCCATGCCACTAAAGGTGGAAAACATTTTCCAGCCATCTTAGGAAGTGAGTTAACAAGAAATAATAATAAATGGAAGAGGTGTCAGAAGCCATGTCAATAATAAATGGCCTTATTATTCATTAACCACATAAAAACTTCTACTGCAGTGTGATTTGAGTTTCCAAAGCACCCGAGTGCCAGCTATTAATTGCTTCCAAATAAATCAAAAGCTTAGCAAATATCATCTACATAATCACCAGGCTATTAAAAAGAAATGCAAGATCAGAAAAAAGATAATCCATATATGTACAAACACTGCATGTCTTCTTTGTCCAAAATAAGTAATACCTCTCGCTGAGAAATAGCTTCACACGCAGACCTAATGAAATCTTCTGAGCAAACCAAAACACTTCCTGGCGGGCCTAACAACTTCCTGAGCCACTGTTTCCTCATCTGTAAAAATGTGACAGTTAAGCTAAATGACCTCTGAGGCCTTTGCGATGTGCCAGAGATGTCCTCAGATACAGTGACAGTATTTGTATTTTCATATTCCTATATTCAACAATGCATTCCCTACCCTGGCACAGTGCTATTACATTGGAGACTCTTAATAATTAACAAAAAATCATTAAAGGTGTTTAATTAAAATTTCAATGGCCTGTAATTCAAGGTATTAGTCAGACTCAGAGTAAATATCTTGAGGAAAATGCTCTTTACATAAATCTAATTAAAAGACAACCAAACAAGAGTGGTTCAGAATTTTTTTTCCCTCTTGTTACTCATTCAGCAAGTACTTACTGAACATCTACAATAGGTCTTCAAGAAACTCATGGAAAATGGTAGGCATGGATTTAAAAATTTTAAAGTGCATTGAGTTAAACATTTTGACATTTTTTCATTTCATTTTACACTGAGTTTTGGAAGGAACTGTGTATTAAGAACCAGGCTTTGAACATGGCATTGGGAAAATACTATCAATGAGGCAACTGAGAAAGTTATAGTACCCTGAGAGTTGTGTAAGTAAAAGGAAAGCCATGTGCTACAAGCCTGTGATAACCCTCTTCACAGCCTTGTCACATAATAAAACCCTCCTGCTGATTGGCCTGGGGCTGAGCATCTCGCCCAATCAGAGATCTTCCCTGAGAACTGAGTCCTGGACTCAGAGAGAAGGGTCCTAGCTTCTTGTCCACAGTAGGAACTGTAACTTTGGAATCCAGGGCTCTGAATGACAGTTGTCCACCTGCTGTGTGGCGTGTGAACTGAGTAGCAAAGTCTTCCTGCCAAGAAATAAAGTTCATCAGTGGAGAGAGGCAGTGCAAGACTGGAGAGAACACCTGGATTCCCCACACCACTCCTGTTCTTGGGTTTTAGTCATCTTGGCTGAGGCTGTGTTGCTGTTCCTCTCCCATTTGGAAAATCCTATCAATCTGTACAATAAATGACATTTTGAAAACTGAACTAGGAGCGAGCATTGTGGTACAGCACATTAAGCTGCCACCGATTGGATGCAGCTGCTCCACTTCCGATCCTACTCCCTGTTATTGTGCCTGGGAAAGCAGCAGAAGATGGCCCAAGTGCTTGGGCCCCTGCACCCACATGGGAGATCCAGATGGAGTCCCAGGATCTTGGCTTTGCCTTGATTCAGCCCAGACCATTTTGGCCACTTAGGGAGTGAACCAGTGTGGTTCTTCCAGAACACTCAGAGAAACATTCTATCCCAGTGAGTGAAATGTTGCCCCAGACAAGAGACCAGAAATGTGCAGTTAAAACCATCAACACCTCTCAAAGGCTCGTCTCTGCGAAGGTCCCTGAGCGGTAACTCATGTCCACAGTCAGCAGAATTTGTGGATGTAGGGATCATGTCAGCAGCCCAGACCACTTTTGTCTGCCATATATAATTCTCCAATTAGATTCCCATCTCGAGCAAATAGCCATGATAATTTAAATTAATTTTGAGTAGCTTGAAGCTGACAGCCTTAGCAGTCACAGTAAATGCACCTGTTACTGAGGTAATTTCTCAATCCAGGGTTTGGAATCTGTCAGCTTCCTCTTTCAGCAAAGTTGTGGTTTCTCAGTAGAGGTGACTTGACTGGCAAGAGGGTGAAATTTGCTTCGGGGGAGGCAAGAAAATCTTAGATCTTATAATGGTGAGTGGACCTCACCCCTGCTAAAGCTCAGCCCTCCCAGACAGAATCTTGCTCCTTGGTATTTATTTTCCTATGTTGGAAGTTTAATTTGACTTAATTTTTCTCCAAATGGGGGCAGGATGCTAATGATTTTAAAAGGTTGATAAATACTACCTAAGTGAGATTAGTCATCTGCCACGGTCCCAGGGTCACCCAAAATTCAGAGACTAAGTCCTTAGCATGGCAGAGGGTATAAAAGGGTCCCCTGGTTTACCCAGAGCTTGCCTCAAAGCCAGATTCCCACTAGGCTGTCTCATACCAGCTCCCCCTTCCACCTGTCTGGGTTCCAGATGGCCTCCTATTCTGCAGCCCTCAGCTAAGTGCCAAGGTCACTGATCTTTCTAAGCTTTTGGCTGGATTCCTCTTCCAATTGAAAAAACAAACAAACAAACAAACAAACCAACAAAAAACACCAGTATTTGCGGGGCCAGCGCTATGGCACAGCAGGTGAAAACCCTGGCTGAAGCACTGGCATCCCATATGGGTGCTGGTTCTAGTCCCAGCTGTTCCTCTTCCTATCTAGCTCTCTGGGAAAGCAGTAGAAAATGGAAAAGCACCCACGTGAGAGATCCACAAAAAGCTCCTGGCTTTGTATCGGTGCAGCTCAGGCCATTGCGGCCATCTGGGCAGTGAACCAGCAGACGGAAGACCTCTCTCTGTGTCTGTAACTCTATATTTCAAATAAATAAAATAAATCTTAAAAAAAAAAAACAACCAGTATCCTTTAAAGGAAACCAATGTTTATGAAATACCTACTACTCACTACTCACTCATTCAACAAATGTTCACTGAGTGCGTGTCATGCAGTGGGTACCGAACAGACAACATCCCTACAAAGGCTCATGAAGTCTGTGTTCTGATGATGGCGAATGAGTCTACAAACACAGGATATGGCATCTATGAAGAGAACTATGGTAGTGCCAGAGGACAGGAGTGATGGAGGAACGAGGAGAGAAGGGGAGGCCTCTCTGAGAAGGCAGGGATACCCCTGGGCAGCTTGTCACAGGCAGAGGGGACCGCAGGTGCCCAAATGCTGAGGTGTCAGCTGGCTTGGCTGCCCGGAGATGGAAGTGGACAGTGTGGCTCCAGAAGAGCAAATGGAAGGGAAACAGCAGTGTCCTGGGAGCTTCCTTAGAGCTCCTTCTCCCTCCAGTCCTCACCACCCCTTAGAAAGCAAGGATGTCTGGCTCCATCTCACCAGTATCGGCTACTGGTTAAGTTTTCTGAGCATAGCTGTGTATCAGTGATCAAAATGAGCATCTGCTGTGGATTACCCTATTAATTGCCACAATACTGCAGGAAGATATCATTACTATCCCTTTTGATAGGTGCAGAGAGTAGTAGAGTCAAAGAGGCTAGTTAATTTGCCCAAGGTCTCACGCTTAGTAAGTAACAGGGCTAGGATGGGGACCTGGGTCCACTGCACTTGACCTTGCTCCATGGACCTCAGCATGCACCTGCCCGTTTTTGACAATCTCACCTTCTTCAGCTGTACCACGTAACCCAAGCCAGCAC